TAAATCAAATCAAAGTGATTAATTAAAACATATATTACACTTCATTATATTCATTCAAACGCACAAAAAGCTTGTAACAATTTAACAAACACAAATCGCTCATAAAAACTAAACGCAGTTCATTGGCCCACTGCATCTGATAATGAGCGGCTTACACTGCGCGTGCGCATGGGCGCCGTCATGAATCACTCACTGTGCGGTGACCTTGCTGCTCTATTTAACTGTTTGTTTGTTTACATCTCGAAAACTTCCGGTATGCAACACACTATTACTGTCTCTGGTTTTTCTTAACTGTTTTACTTTTTAAGAATGAGCTTACAGTTTGTAGAAGTACATAGTTAATATTTTTTCCATGTTATATGTATGCTTAGTTGATTTCCGTTTCTTACACTAGCAATTTTTAGATTTATTAACCTACGAATTGCGTTAAAATTATGTTCAATAAACTTGTCACTTTCTGACCAAAGTAAGACCATTTATCACTACAAAATCAGCAGAAATCACGAAAGCCCCATAATAAATGATTGTAGAACGCATTACTCCCTGCGCCGGCGCACCCATTGTGCGGTGTTGTAACTCAGTAACACGTGCGCCGGCGTCGCCAGCCGCGATAGCTGATTGCGTATACTTTATTATGGTAATGTTACACTCATTGTGAACTACATAAGGATTGATCGATACAAATAAAAAATATTATAAGACAATTAGTACGTTAGTTATAGATGAAAATGTATAAATGACTTTCATTATCTGAAGACATAGGGATAAAACTCTTCCCTTTTCCGTTACTGAGTAAGGCACGGATTAACAGAGAAAGTATTGATGAAACTACAAGTTGTAGGAAACTGAAAGCTGGCATGTTGGTAAGTTTTTTTTATGTGATAGGGGTATAAACGAGCTAACAGATTAGGTAGCTGATGGTAAGCAAACCGCGCGATTTCGTCTCGACTCACAAATACTCATAATGATTTTAGATAAGCCTAGTCTTTCTACATAAATTAGGAACTATCCAACACCTGTAACTTTAGCTTTATGCTTTATGCCGATACAAAATTTCTACACTATTGTAATGGATGTAAAATACTACATATATCTATATCTTCCTTTTTGTAGCGGCGTACTCCAGGCTACATATGGGTTAGGTTTCTGCTACTTAGATGCCCATAGCAAAGGTTTTTTTGGAGCACAGTTAAAATGCAGCTTGATTTTAAATTCCTGTAATGGCGTCAAAGTAAAATGTACATCGAGGAGAGGGGCTAAAAGAACAAAGTGGCGTTCGGAAATCGATTCCAATCACTCTATCTATTATAAACCGCTACAAATTCGGTTCCATAATTTAAAAGATTCAAGCAATTCAGGGACATAATTACGGATGTAGGAACAGAGAGAGTGATTCTCCTTTGTATAATCTAAATATGACACTGTGTTATCCTTTTCTTGTTCTTAAACAAAATAAAAGTCTTCAAACGAAAGAACAAAAGTGTGGTCGAGTCGCGTAAAATTTTACGCGATGACATTTTTTGCGAAGTTGTCTAGATAAGGGGTGACATAAAACAAACCATGGCTCATGTTCTATCCGCCTTACCATCTCTTACTAGCGTCTATGGACGATAAAGTTCAAATTGTAGAGATCTGACGTTTTGGCTTCAAATATAGTTAGAATGTTTTAAAGTGAGCTTCAGGTTATTTTTAAACAGAATCTAACTATATTCTATTCATATTAATTACTATCAACATAAGTAATTTGCTTAATAGCTGGTTGATGTTTTTCAGTGTCTTAATTTAATTTTGAGCTTTGATAGTATTTTTATATTTTATTGCGTCCACAATGTGACAGCCTCAATTATTTTTCTAATCTAAACTCTGGAACGAGGTTCAATAGAGGACAGACGGACAGACTGACACAATATATAAAGTTAAAACTTATGATATCTTTTTTGCTTGTCGTTCAAAAGTGCCAGTTGTGGCCTACTTGAAATAAAGAATTTGATTTGATTTGAGTCTAAAAGGAAAGAGCAGGACCTCACAAACGTTCGGAATGAAAAAATATAATTTTCAGGCTACCATCGAGAACAATAAGACTTGAGATCGCTGAAACATCAAAACCTTAAATTCTAACCTAACATTTCAAATTCAGCGCGAAAGATAATAACACAATACACCCCTAGTTCTACGTAATCGGTTAAATGCGGGTGGCTATCGCAGCTCGCCATCTCGGGCCGGGCAAAATGTCCGATACCACAGTACCTACCCGGTTATACCCGGTTATCCGGGAGAAATCTCGTAAAATGCACACGATGGACTAGGGACCCATGTACTTGAGTTGTGCTATTTTTACTGTCCGACCCTCTGCACTTGATGGGCGATGGTTTTTGATAACAATTTATGATATGAATGTAGAAAGGTAGGTAAGCACTTATTATTGTAAAGGTTTGCATCCCACTGCCCCTGAAATAACATGGGAATTTACCGATGGATATAAATTATCATCATCATCATCATCATCACAATATCGTTTATTTGCATTTCACAAAGTGTTTTTAGGTGGTAGGTGTACAAGGCTTAAAGCTACAGTACATTTATGAACCCTGTTAGTATTAACAGTAGTAAAAAAGTAATTAAATTAAGGCTTGTTTTTTTAAAGTAGACTTTGACTGCACAGCTTTCTTGAATGCGGACAGAAATTCGAACAGATTGACAGACTACTATTATATTTTGACGGTTCAAAAGTACCTATTTATGGTTTAGTTGGAATAAATGATTTTGACTTTGACTTTGACTTTGCGGTGGCTGGGCAACTGGCTGCTGTGGGTTTAGTCCCCGCATGGATTTTTTGTATGATCCAATAATTGTTGTTCTGTGTCTGAGTGTGTTGTGTGTGTAGAATTGAATGCTTGTAAACGCACCCAAGACGAGAAAATTATGAGATGATAAGAGGGACAACGTATCTTCTTAAAAAAGACTGGCAAAAAATATCTGTCACTTCAAATTCAAACCTACTATAAAATATAAAAAAAAAATCTAAAAACATACTCTCTTAATCTTACAACCGAACAATAAACTTCAAACTCAAATAAAACGTCTCGATCGTAAAACCCTCCGATACACAATGAGTGCAATTATCCCATTACTTCAATTGTCTGTCTGTTTGTCACCACTTACCAATAAGTCAACTAACTAGTTAAACGATTTGTAACTAAGAAATAAACCACTTTCTTATTATACTCACGAAGTTATATTTCAAAAGAATTGTCAATGGGTTCCATAATGCCGGGGTTGCGGGGTATGCGCAATGAGGCACCGCGACCTTGGCCCAGAGCAGGAGAAGGAACAGGGGGTTTTTAGTCAGTAAGAGTCTGACACTCCCTCCCGCCCGGCCCCTGGGCGGGAGAAGTCATTTGGTGATTTTCCCCTGACAAAACAAAATAAAAAAAAAAATTATGGGTTCCGTAATACTTAATTGATAATTGTTTGCTTGTTTACCTACTTCATCTTACTAACTACTAAGTTATGAAGATTCACATCTCGAGTTCCGTCCATTGTAAACCCTAAACCGATATGAAACAACCACAGCGTTGCGTTTCGCCGTGTGAGTGAGGTTACCGGAGGCCCAATCCTTCCCCACCCCCAATCCCTAATCCCTAAAAGGTCGGCAACGCACCCGTAACTCCTCCGTTGCGGATGTCCAAGGGCGGCGCTGATTACTTACCATCAGGTAATCCGTCAGCTCGTTTGCCGATCTATTACATAAAAAAAATTGTTCCATGCACTTTAATATTATATTAATGTTAACTCGTAAACCGCCACGTAGGTCACCGACGACCTACGGTAGCGGAAGATTTGCCTTCCATAGCTTTCTGTTGGCAGTCAGTAGGTGCGTTAAACGGTATGAAAGCGCTGCATTGGTCACTCTTTCTCTCAATTAACTAAATCTTTTTTGTTGAGTTACGTAATGAATTATTTTTTTAAGATACATATAACTTAACACTTATAACATCTTTTAACAATACCCAATGAAATAAGAGTAAAATGAGTATACTCGATCCCCACGCTATCACATAGCCGAAATTAATTATTTATAAAAATGTAGTACCGAATAGCTCGATAGATGGCGTTAGGATCGAGTTATAGCAAACTTGACAAGAACAAAATTGTCTTGCTCTGAGGTACATCGTTTTATTCGGGGATCCCTGGCTTCAAGGCACTCTGTACTCATATTGTACACTCAACTTTTGCTAGTTGGAATAAATACGGTAGTATTTAGGAGCTTCGAGTTCGACTGCTTTGATTTATAGTTGACCCAAATATGTATATGCTTAAAGATGTCATTGCATCAAATTTAAGATCAGCCAGGGTTGCAGATGCAAGCGTGGCTCCGTATACCTTGGCCGGGGATTGGGTGGTTTTTATTGAGTAAGACTCTCTGACACGCCCTCTCGCCCCACCTATAGAACCCGATTATTTTCCCCCTAAAAAAAGAAATCAAAGATCCCCTAACGTAAGTTTCTATTTTCAAATGTTTCAGAAAACAAGTTTTTTAACAACTTTTGTAAGCTAGTAGTTGTAATGTTAGGCAGTTGCGGTCTGCTACGGTAACCCTATACTAGCTGCAAGGCTGTCACCAAGGTCACTGCCGACGACCGGTATTTAGTCGGCGCTAATGTAAAGATGCTCTTTTTGTTTAGGTGCAATGAAAAAACTTGGGTTTTATTTGAAGATTTCAACACCTATGTACCTAGTACTAAAAGAAATTAATTTTGATCTTTATTTTTAAAGTCGATAGATAGGTAGGTCCTAGGTACCTGTCTTTCTACGTAGGAGCCTACCAAATTGTGATGGTTATTGACTATTATCTGACCTCCTGCTGCCGAGAACCAGAAATTTAAAACTTGTATACATACATAATATATAAGACACATTAAGAAATATTATGTACCTAATGTGGTCTCTTGCATAATAGGTATATCACAAATATTGACATCATTATTTTCTATTTCCAGCGTGTCCGAACATTCACGACCTCCCTGGATGAGCTCGCGGGTCGTGTACAAGCCGCTGAAGCTGCACGTTCATCATGGCGCGGCCCCGGCGACGCGAGAGATGCGCGTGCGCAGCTCGACGCTGTATCCCGCGCACGCGCACAACTACCTCCATTAAGGAGGTTGGCTGACGAGCTTCACGCACAAGCTCAGCAGCTAGCGCGAGACAAGATACAACTGCCTGATCACTTACTTGCTAGATTGGATGATTTGAATACCAGGTAATTTTTAGTCTAGATTATTGTACCTTAGCGATGTAGGTACTTACTACTTCATGAGTCATTGATCAATGACCCTCCTATTGTTGGTGACATATACATATTATTATGTTTCTTGACCAATTTTGTGCGTGATATTATCTTGCACCACACTCTTTACTAGGTATCCTTAACAAGAATTGGGTCGAAGCTGTTGGTTTCTGTTTGCATTAAGCGTGCGTTATCGAGTATTTTGCTTTTTACTTTTAAACCTTTAAGTCTCATGTCTGATTCTATAAAGAAGGTACTAACTGCATTTTGTAGTCATTATTTATCTAGGTAATGTTCAATGGTTACAAAATATTATTTCGAGTCAATTGCAATGATCTCGATAGTGTCTCAAAAGATAGTAATCAGTAGGTACGTGATTAAACCGCATTGAAAAGGTTGATAAGTCACGAACAGACAGCTACAGCGTAAATATTAGTATGTGCGGAATGTTAAACATTAGCACGCTTGTTGAAAGTCAATCTCATAGTTTATATTCATTACAAGGAGTTGCCTGTCAACCTACATTCTTATATGTACTTACTTAGTACTTAGGTGGCTATTACTAGAATGCTAAGGTCGCGGGTACTAGTAGGGGTTGCGGGGCAAGCGCAATAAGGTCCGCCATCGCGGCCTCAGTCTGGAGCAGGGAAAGGAATAGGGGGAATTTTAGTCAGTAAGAGTCTGACTCTCCCTCTCGCCATACCTTGGGCGAAGAAGTAGTTTGATGATACTCGCTCCACAAAAAGGGTCCAAAATAGTTCCTTGTTTAATTCCCTACTATTTTTGTGGTATACATTTTTGATTCTGCAAATGGATGTTACTAAGTTTCAATTTATTATTATAACATCACATGATAAGGTTTTGTCTAAAATTTAACACCCAGATTATGTTGAGAAAGTGACCCCAAAGCCATGATTAATTATAAAAAACAATTTGTGTAATGTTAAATTCCATTCTGTAAATCGCTATAGATGTTTCAATTGAAAAAAACAACTAATTGTCTCTTTAATATAAACCACATTATTATTTACTTCTTAACCATTCTTTATGATATTGCAGAGTATCTGGCCTGGTCTCCGGCGGCGAGGAACGCGTGCGCCAGCTAGCTGGTGTTGCAAGAGATGGTGGCGCCGGCGCAGCGCAGGGCTTCCTCGCTGGCTCTGTGGAGATACCTTGGGAGAGAGCCGTTACTCCTGCCAATGTACCCTACTACATCAAGTAAGTACTTTTTCATCATCCTCTTCAGAAAAAAGGCTTTTACGAATGCATTCTAGATCGGTCGACTAGTTAGTCTCGCTGACCTCTTTAGGCATAGTGTACAACTATATTTATCTAGGCATATTTTCAATGTACCTTTTTGTTTTAGGGCTAGATATGATAACTCAATATTAGATCATAATTAAGATATAGATAAATGTTACAAAAGCATTCATTGTTTTGAAGTTAATTAGTTGAAAGGTCAGAGCAATGTCTGGAATAGTTATTGATAAATTTAGCTAGTTAGTTTGTTACATTATATTGATGAATGACAGTGGTTGGCAAGATTTTGATGGATATTAATGCTTACTAGGTAAATAACAATATTTAATGAAATTCAAAGGAAATACATATTTTATTATTGGTATTGACACTGTGTACTTACATTCTACTTGCAATTTCAGCCATGAACTAGAAACAACTCACTGGGACCACCCGAAGATGATCGAGCTGATGAATTCCTTGGCAGACCTGAACGAGGTTCGCTTCTCAGCGTACAGGACCGCACTGAAGCTGAGGACTGTGCAGAAAGCACTCTGCAGTAAGTTGACGCAGTATATTCTTCTTAAACACAACTTTTTTGGTCACACTTTAAGTTAATTCATCAAACTATTGTTCTTATCTCTATTGTGTCTCGATTTACTACGATGGAAAGGTTTATAACATTCTACTGCTTTTTAAACAAATATTGGTAATCTTTTTTTATTTCCAGTGCACATGCTACAGCTGCCAGCTGCGTTAGAAGCGTTTGACTCCCACGGACTACGCGCTCAGAATGACCGTCTGATTGACATACCTGACATGATCACTGTTCTCACTTCTTTATATGAGGTATGTCCAAAAATATTTCGAGTCTGACTGACCAACTAAAGGCAGTCAGTACTCCGCAAGCGTCAGTCAACGTTGACTGCGTTACTGTTATACTTTTGGACGCATTTATGATGACCGAAAACTGTTTTTCCTATCTCCAGGTGATTGCAGCCGAAAATCCAAGTCTAGTGAATGTGCCACTTTGCTTGGACCTGTCCATCAACTGGTTGCTCAACGTGTACGACAGCCAGCGGACTGGACAGATCCGGGTGCTCAGCTTCAAGGTCGGACTCGTACTTCTTTGCAAGGGACACTTGGAAGAGAAGTACAGGTAAGACAAGAATTTTGGACATTAGAATCTATTTCATATACAAAATTTGGCCTGGAACAGTAAGGGTTCTATCGATATGTCGTAATTTCAGATATCTGTTCCGGCTGATCGCAGACCCATCGTGTAGAGCCGACCAAAGAAAACTCGGATTATTGCTGCATGATTGCATCCAGGTAAACTCAGCTAGCAACTTATAAAGTCAAATCTACAAAACCTTTAGGGCAAATCGCCATAACTGTTTTTGTCAACTTCAGGTACCAAGACAGCTTGGTGAAGTGGCTGCCTTCGGAGGCTCAAACATAGAACCTTCAGTGAGGAGCTGCTTCGAACAGGCATCAGCTGCCACCAAGGAAGGCAATAAGGGAGGCACTTTGGACAGGAAAGTTGGTAAGTAGCTGAATAAATAGGACAACACAATAGTCTGTCGTGTCCTGAATAGCCTTATTAACCAGAAAATACAGTTAATCTTCCAGAAAAAGACAAAGAGAAGGAGGAACCTTCTAAAGAAAAGACCTTGGAGCGTGATGCGGACGGGCAGCTACAGTTCATAGAAGCGTTCCACTTCCTGCAGTGGCTGCAGAAGGAGCCGCAGTCCATGGTGTGGCTGCCCGTGCTGCACCGCCTCGCCGCCGCCGAGACTGCCAAGCATCAGGCCAAGTGCAACATCTGCAAGGAGTACCCGATCATTGGGTTCAGGTACCTATTCAACATTATGTTTAGATATTGTAATATACCTTATAACATAAGTACGCGTAATAAAGAAGGTACCCTAATGACCTTTAATCAGCTGACTGTAATAACATTAATGGAAGTTGTACCATTAGGCTAAAAGGCATAAAAATGGTTACAAAACACCATTGGATGATCATATTTTTGGATTCCTTTCGATCTGGAATCAATCTAAAGACCATAAGGAGTTTTAAGTAATGAACACAAAAAAACTAGTATGTCTCTTTCACATTGACTGACTCTTCTTATATTGTTTTGTTTCGTGTCTTTCAGATACCGTTGCCTGAAATGTTTCAACTTCGACATGTGCCAGAAGTGCTTCTTCAACGGCCGCAAAGCAAAGAACCACAAGCTGACGCATCCTATGCAGGAGTATTGCACTGCTGTAAGTATTAAATGGACAAAAGATAAGACCTTTTTTTAAAGCTTTGCTTGATGTAAGTACTTACCCTGTAAGGCCTACCCTCTACCCTCTGGTTTATGAAGTTAAAGTTGATCAATAGATTTTATTATTAGTGCACTCTGCTTAAAACGCACTGACTTTTTATGTAATATTGATGTGAACTATTTTTTTCCACAGACTACTTCGGGCGAAGATGTGCGTGACTTCACTCGAGCGTTGCGCAATAAGTTCAAGTCAGCTCGCTACTTCAAGAAGCATCCACGAGTTGGTTACCTTCCCGTGCAAACTGTTCTTGAAGGTATTGTTTTCATCATTATTATATTTGAATATTTTTAAGAAAATAATCATAGATTTAGATCATCCATACTGGTGGGGTCTATTAAAAAGATCTAAGTCGTTAATGGACTTAACACTCTGGATAAACAACTAAATGAAAACGACTTTAAATTTTTCTCGAAATTAGAAATGTTGTAAGGACGCAACAACTATACCATAACATTTTATATATATTTTAGGTGATGCCTTGGAGTCTCCGGCCCCATCTCCACAACACGGCAGTGCTTCAGGCTCGGCTCTGGGCGGTGACGACATGCACTCACGTCTGGAACTGTATGCCACCAGACTGGCCCAGGTTGAACTTGGAGCCAAATCTGGAGATACTCCTGACAGGTTTGAAAATTCTCCAATCTTGTTCGATGTTATTTATTTTATTAAAACGAAATACGCTCTATTGTGCGTAATTTATTTTACGCCCAATATAGCGTATTCTGATTTTGGTCTTTATTTTAATGACGATAGATATAAAAATCCCTAAAGACCAGAACAAGCAAATACTTATAATAAACATACACAGTTACTTTTTGAAATTAGTTGAACATTATTGAAATGGTAGGATACACTTTATATTAAAGCCTCATTAATCCATAAATATTTTCACCAACAGTGACGAGGAACATCAGCTGATCGCTCAATACTGCGCATCACTCAATGGCGGCGGAGAAACTGATGATGCACCACGCTCACCCGTTCAGGTTGTCTCCATCATTCACCGTGAGCAGAGACACGAACTCGAGGCTATGATCAGGTAAGAATTTGTTACATTGTGAAAAAGTTATGAAGAAAGAACACTGAGCTCACTCAAGTGATTTCTAATTACAGAGAGCTTGAGGAAGAAAACGCCAGTCTCCAAGCTGAATATGAGCGTTTGAAAGCTAAGCAGACTCCAGGATCTACTCCCGAGGAGCAGCATGGCGTCAATGATAACAGGAACGCTCCTGTCGACCAGGTATACATATATTCAAACATCTATCAGTTAAAGTATTGCTAATAATATGTTGTACATAGGTATATTATTTTATCTTAAAGGTATTCCCGAAATCGGTGATGAAGTTGCAAATAGCGACACCTGTGTCAGATTTGACTCTTCTTTTTTAAACTCAGGCAATATTCACAGTAATGTTGTTGTTATTGACCCCCTATTTATTAGATATTGTAGTAGACATTCAGATAGTTAGATCGAAGTTGGTCTTAATTACGTAACATTTACAAATAATATTATTAACACTTAATCTCCTCCAGTAGATTTCAAGTCCAGCTTACTTATTTATAGACCTAAAGTTATCTTAAACTCTGATGTAAGTGCAGAGTATTAGTCAGATGTAAGACTTGAACAAATTATCTTGCTTCCAGGATATGATGGCTGAAGCCCGTCTGCTAAGGCAGCACAAGGGTCGCTTGGAGGCGCGCATGCAAATCCTCGAGGAACACAACCGACAGCTCGAGGCTCAACTGCAGAGACTGAGGAGACTGCTTGATGAGGTAACAATTATTACAACAATAAGAAACACCATTGTTTTGTTATAAAATTCAAAATCTCTTGCAATTTCATAGATTAGGGTAATTTTACTCCAAGCCCTTTTTTAAGATTTTGATTAATTGCAAACACAATAATATTTACTAATTTCTAGTATTTTATCGATTCCAGCCTGCCCAAGGTTCCCCACCAGCTCGCACAGGCACACTGCAGACTCGTTCTGTGACCGCATCGCAACTTGCTACCGATTCTCCGGCAAAAATGCATAATGGACTATACCATGAGTCGCAAACTAGTGAGTATTATGTGTATTTTCTAATCTAACTAAGCCCTTTGATAGAGAAAACATAGTAAACAGAGTTTTGAATACGTGTCCTCACTAACAGAACGACTAGCTCACAATCAAAAGGAATACCACTTCAATAACTTTTATCTATTGTAATAAAAATGTCCCAGCAAAAATATAATCTTGACAAAATTACCCGAGTGTTCCCCAAGGCTCTCTTTTGGGTCCGGTAGTACGAATGTATGGTAGTTGTAAAAGACGTTTCCTAACGTGGTATCCGCGGCAGACGGTGGCACTCGCTGGGCAGGTGCGGAAAGGGAGGCGATGGAGCGGCCACCACCACCGCCGCATCAGGTGCACTCGCTCATGCACTGCGCAGGTCAGGCTCCGAGTGGACTTGTCAAGCTTCTATAGCACGAGTGACAGGCGATTTGAGTTTTATAGCAGCTATTGTTTTATTTAATGTTGGTTTTACGCACAGAGATCTTTCAATACTGAAAATGATGACTACCTCACACTGAAGATGCTTTGCTAGTTTTCTAGACCATTTTTAGCGGATGTATTCATAGATGTTTTCAGTTGCCATGTTTCTCTTGGTTATACACGATGAAGTTGTTTAGTTTTTCTTTCGTCGTCATTTGTAGGTTATTGCATGGTTTTTGAGTGATGCATGTTACTGTTGTTAATTCGACAAACTTTAATAAACATTAATATTCACGGTGCTCTTTTTTCTGTTTTCTGCAAACCTAACAGGACGCATACCTTGAGGTAATAATAATATTATTTTAATGTTGTCACGTGTTAGGTTCACATTGAAATTAGGTTCACATCAGCCTATGATGTACTGAATTGACTATATTACTAAATGACTTTTTCATGACTATTTCCAGATGACCTTGGCCGCGCCGTCGAAGAACTAGTGTCAGTAATGACGGAGGACACACAAAACCAAACATCGAACTCTCCTCCACAATACACCAACGGGAAACCACCCACCAAAGAGTAGCCCTCACATCGAGACGTTGTACAACGCGCGTATGGTGCTGCCCAGCGGCTGGAGCCATCAGGCGCCCGCCACCCTTTCTTAATGATACCTTCGAACTAGCAACACTGTCGAGTAATACCAAAGAGAACGCTTTAAACTCTTTCCTTACTAAACATCGAAATATTATAAATTGTACAGTATTTCTACTAATTTTCGACTCATCACTAACAATACCTGCACATGCTGTTTCTACCTTATTATACAAAAGCTCTAACATTCCACACATTCTCTAATCGAGTGGGCTTCGCGGGGAAAGATACTAAAAGTAGAAGCCTGTAAGGAACCGGCTATATAGAACTAACAACGATGGTCATTATCTAGATTTAGTTCCCTGTAGCGTCGTTTTCGAGACGATAGTCGTATGCAACGCTTATTGTATTAATAAGGGCATGCCATTGTTGCAGTACGTATCGTGATTGAGTCGCTTTTTTACCATTTCTTATTATAGAGAAAACCTAGTAGGCAACCCTGACAGAATTTCTACTATTTTTGTTTTTCCCCTCCGTCACCCCGACAGTGTTGCTAGAACGAGACGATCCAACGAAAAAGACACTGTAACGAGCATTTATATACATATATATTTAACAAAAAATGTACCAAATTTGTGGATACTTAATATTTTAATCGTTTAAGTACATATCTTGTTAGTACAATCTCCATTATATATCATATCACTTCTTGTATACTTCCATATCATTTTGCTATGTAAAATACAGGCATATGTATTATATCACGTGAAACGAAACTGAGGCAACTCGGCCACCGAACGATCGGAGGTCATTTACACGACAGTTCGATTGGTTTGACCACATTTTTACCATATCGACGTTAATAACATTGTACTGAAACCATATCCATGTTTTTCTATAATTATACAAAGAACAAACAGTATTTAAGGATGCTACCGAAACAGTAGTAATTTTGGAGTGTGGTCACACTAAACGTATTAAGCTGAAAGCTTTAATAGGATCACAATTAGCTTTAAAACCGCAACTGTGACATATTTTGATAAATAACGCAACACAATGTATGCAAACTACAAGTTTTTACCGCGAAACCACTGAAAGGGCCTAAGTTTTAGTGGAAATGTATTGTTATATAGATTGACCTCTCCGATTTTTCAAAAACATGTATGCCATATGTCTAGTGTGGCCGTAGATAAAATGGATTCGTTAACGATTTTGCGAGTAGTATTTAGATGTAGCCAAAATGATATCGAGCATGTTATCTATATGCATGTTTGTGTAAGTTAAACATTTATCGAGTTATCAAAAATGTATCGTTAGATGATGAAAAATAATAATCGAAGTGCTTCTATGCAGAGTAGTGGCAGTTTCCTTTCCTTCACTGTTAGGTCTTGGCCAGCCGCGATTATTTTGTCGCTAGACTAGCACGTAAAAAACTACGAAAATTCGTGCGATTAATTTATCGATAGTTCATAATCGCGGTGCGCACAAGATAGTACTGTCGGACTGTAGGGACTCTTCTTAGGAACTATAAAACATGTATCCAAAACTTTTTCACTATTACAAAAGGCAACATGACACATTTTTCGATTAGACTAATATGGGACGCGACGATTTTTATGTCGCGTGTCGATGTATCTCGATATGTACCGTGTGTCTACTAGTAAGATGCTGCCTACCTTTTTTAGATAAGGATATACTGGAGAGACTTTTATACGATCGTTAAATAATCCTGTTGAAGCTAACTTTAAAATTAAGTACTTCGGATCTAACCATATCAAGGTTTATTTGTTTTATTTCGTCGCAACGGTGCGCAGGAGTTTTGAATATCCAGCATATTTTAACGCTGGTAACATTACAAAATTTCTGTGCACCCGCGACCGTTACTTAAATTCTTATTAATTTCGCTAATATAGTATATAAGAAAAAAGCACAATCTTTATTATAATTTTAACGAAAATAGAAAATAAAAATTTACACTAATATATTGTTAATAATTTTATTTTTTGTTTATTACGTAGTACGATAGTTTTCTGTTTACTATTACGAAATTTAATACTTATTTTAATATTGGCAATTTACGAAATGTACTACTTCCGCATTTATTTGTATATTTTACTGTGTTTATGATGTTTTTAGAAGTTAAACACAAATAAACATTCAACATAGTACACGATTGTTTCATTTTGCTCTTTAAAACAATACCCAACCGCATACAAATTTACCTACCTAAAAGTATTTTTTTTATGTCATAGATCGGCAAACGAGCATACGGATTACCTGATGGTAAGCAATCAGCGCCGCCCATTGACGAGCAGTTGCGAGTGCGTTGCCGACCTTTTGGGGATTAGTGACTAGGGAGGAGATGAATCGGGCCTCCGGCCTCACTCACACAGCGAAACAACGCTGCGGTTGTTTTACGCCGGATTTCTGTGAGGCCGTGGTATCACTCCGGTTGAGCCGACCAATTCGTGCCGAAGCATGGCTCTCCCACACCTGCTAATTATGTAGGTATTAAAGTAGGTACTTATAAGATATAATAAAGTTGTGGAGATGACAAAACTAAGTTTTGCAACAAAATACATTATCGAAAGTAGTTAGGGTGCTGAACATTTTGAGCGCCATTGTCACATATTATTACCTATACGTGACAAGCGAAAACTGTCTCTGGACGCTAACGTCACAAATAGTAAAAAAAGCGATAAGTATAGACAAACGGGAAATCAACAATTTAAATGCCTGTTTATTGATATCCTTAAATAGAAACTCTAAAACCTTGTTTATTTCTGTTTAACGTATCATATAGCAACATGGATACCAGACCTATTGATTATTTTTTATTTAAGAAGTCGGTAAAAAGTAAGAAATCATATTAGTAGAAAGGAATCACACGCCACTGTCACAAATATGTGACCGCTAGTGATGTAGCGCATGTTAGTTAATATAAAAAATTAAGTATATCAAAGATTGTTTTAAAACTTTTCTCAGTCTGGTACCTATCTATTTAGTTAGATATAATTTGGTCCTATTAATTTTATTCAGCCTTAAAAACCTTTTGTTAGCCATTAACCTTTTGTTACTCAAAGATAAAATTAGTTGGGTCGAACTTCGATATTCACTAATCCTGTCATCGGCGCACCCCAAACTTATCCCGAATTATTAGTGCCTTGTTAATAAAGACGCGTTTCTGTCAACGAGAAGATAGATATAGAGAGCAGTTTATTATCGCGATGCAAACGCGTTGGTATCGCCGCAAACGCGCGTCAACGGCATGTCCAAAGGCGTATATAGTACCCTCAATTTTTTCAATCTTTACACCCTACCGTTAATGAGGAATAGGCTTTAGAATGTAACGTTTTTACTGCTTAAAAGGCACGTAGGCTCTTAAGTGTGGTGTGCATAGCTCTAAACTGTATGAACAGACTGACAGACTACTTTCCTATTTTGACGTTTCAAAAGTACCTATTTATGGTCTAGTTGGAATAAATGATTTTGACTTTGACTTTGACTTTGAAGATTCGGGATTACTATCTACCTATAAATTAATCTAAACAAAAATAATGTTGTACCAAAACACATCGATAAGCGATATATTACGCTGCTAGTGCTACGTTCTTACTTATTTTGGAAGCGTAATATTAATAAACATGGAGGGCCGTCCACGCCATGGTCACAAATAGAAGACAGCAAATAAAGAATAATGTTGTGCCATTCATTTACTTATATTGTCGTCTCATAACTGTCATTACAGTATTAAACAATTCTGTAAATAATGTATAAGCATCGCTATTCTATCTATACTGACTAAAAACCCCCCGTTCCTTCTCCTAGGGCCGAGGCCGCGGTGACTCAGTGGTGTATTAGTTCTTTAAAGCGTGCGCGAAACGCTACGCGCCGTCCGCTAGGGTCTGGTCGGGTGGCGAGCAACCCTTACCTACGGTGGCCGGAGATTATCTCTCGATCCTCGAGTGTCTGTCGGGAACAGAAAATGTCTGTCTGGAACTGAAACAGGAACCTACCGAAGCTGCCGTGCCCGGTGAGCATCTGCATCAGGCGGAAGGTGAGGACGTCATGGCGTCTCTCAAGCAACTCTTCAAAAAAGGGTCTTACCGCTGCTATCGGTTGCGACAGACGTAGCTTCCACTCTGCTATGAGATCGCGTCGGAAATCATTCCCTCACGCAATAATTTGGCGCGGCATTGTATCGCTTGAGCGTGAGCGCTTTAGCTTCCAGTACCCATGGCGGTGATCCGGCAAGGAGGTTCGCCCGCCTCCCCGGAGATTGTGCGATAGCGGATTATGCGGATGGCCATGACCCTCTGGGACGCGGCAGGAGGCGTTTGCCCATTCCCCCGCTCCCCCAGGTTGGGAAGGAACCGCTTAAGCGCGGCCCCAGTCTGTTCCCACTTGGGAGCCAAACGTCGAAAATGCTCCGTGATGTTCCACCGGCTGTCGAGGATGAGGCCCAGGTATTTCACCATCGACTCGACGCCGTACCACACACACACACTTCGTCACAGGTGCGGTCCCAGGACCGATCCCTGTGGAACGCCGCGCGACATTTCTCGCCGGTTCCACACGCCCCGGTGACCAGGGCAGATGACGGGTCTGTCCCTACACTAAGCCTCGACTACACGAGAGAGAGAGATAGGCAGGCACCCGGTGGTACCGGAGTGCCTCAAGAATAGGAGATTTCTAGGATAACGAGTTGTTTTATACTAAGCTAGCTTCTGACAGTGGCTGCCGCAGTATCAGGGATAAAGTATCCTACGTTTACTTGAAAGTAAACTGTTTGAACTGTTTTTGTAGACTATTATCTATCTGTGTTAAATTCCATTCTGAACCGGTTCTTACCTATGGTTTTCATGTGAAACAGTAACACACATCTACCCATCCATCTTTATATACTTACAAACCTCGTGTTTACAAAATTAGTTGGAGTCGTTCAGTTCACAATATTAGCAAATTGAGTCAGGAATTATCACCAATTGGGTAGTTTCCTAGGTCAAATTAATTATTTCGACAATACAATACAGTAAAATATTGAAATATAACTATACTTTTATTCATCGATCGAGCGATACACTGGTTTTTAGATATTTTGTAGCCTAATTAAGAAATAAGTAAAGTATTTGACGCAAAAAAACTATGACGTCATAACTCAGTTTTTCATATAAATTTCATAGAAATGTATCGTTTTTGACATTTGTTTAAAAGTATTAAATTTGACTAGTTGGAAACTACCGTATTGCATAAGGCAGGTACCAACAAATTGAATAAAACACAAAATGCCCATATAAACCTTTATTTAGTTAACAGAAGCTTAAGAAAAAACTTAGAACACTAACATACTATAAGTCATATGGAATTTGCAACATTATTAAAATATGTATGTATACACTAGGCGTTATTAAATGTTATAGTTAAACAACCATATAAGCTAAGGCATTTTACTGTCATTAATTAAAAGGCACAAACAAATTCAACACAATAGCAAAGTTTTTGGGAAATGACTAACAGACTCACGCAGCAACTCAGCAACAAACTTGCACAGATTTTTAACATTTAATACCATAACAGTATATTCCACCGGGGTTACCTACACATAGCTTACTGGTCTTTATGGATCTGACTGATGGTAAGCAGTCTGGATCACCACTGGTCATCTTAGTAGAGACAGATCATTTAGAAGTGTGTTGCTGGCCGTTTGAGGGTTATAAGGAATTAGCATGGAGCAGGATTGGGTCTTCATTTACATTTTTAGACAGTATATCCATAGACTCTTTTTGTTTTAATAAATGCAATTCCATATTAATACTATATAATATATCTACTATTTCATTATACTATAATGTCTTCAAAGCAAAGGCACATTTTATAACAATTTAAATATAAACATATTTTTTCTTCAGTCACGAATAGGAACAACCACAACTTCATTTTTATACTTTACGCATACATAATCTTCGTATGCAAAATTGATAACATATTTTTTACTCAACAGTAAATTCTTATTTTTATACTATAATAGTATTTTATCAAGGTAAAATTAAATATTTGACATATAAATATCTCAGTGTGCCAGAGTTGACAATGAAAGAAAGATAATTAAGTTTTTCCTATGTTATCTGATACTAGGCTATAATCAAAATGAAATGATAATAAAACCAAATGAGATTATCAAGCATTATTCTCAGGGACATTTTTGTGCCAAAGTAAGTGTAAGGGATAATTATGATAATATTTTAAAATCAAATGAGACTATGCAACTGACTTGACTGTCAGCGTCAAGTAAGTTTTTTTAATTGTTGACACATTTGGATAATGGTGTGGCAGAAATATTTGTTCACTGTCTATCCCAACTGTAGCAATCAAGATGTTTTAGTTGATAAATAACTTCTAAAGAGTGAATATATTTTGTGATAAATAAGTGGAAACACTCACAGATGCACTGAATGTTCCGGAATAACATAGAATTCTTTATTAATTTAATACTTAAAACTGTTGGTTCTACTGTCGGCAGGTGGCCATAAGGTCATCAAAGAGCCTTGAATGAGTAAAAACTAAAAGTAATAATATATGTTTGTTCTTAAAAATATTAATGCAAGTTATTTGGACAAACATTTTGGTCATAATGTAATACAAAATATAATAATTATTAGTCTTTTTATAGAATAGAAAACAATTGTTCTCATATAATAATTTGCGTAAAGCCTACCTACATTAATTTGTTTAAATATCATAACACATTGTAATAGTTTCATAATTGAATATACATATTTGGTGATAGAACACAAAGGCATTGTGAGATGAACCTTCAACCTCATTTGTACTGAATCAGTATTGAGATGATTTTAAGGGATTCCCATTTTATTTTTTGTTATATGAAACAATTGACTGTGGGCAGCAAAATTAAGTCTCTCACTTATCATAGCATAGGTACTCTATACAAATGCACTCTTTTACTAACTGAATCTTGAAATAATTTCTCTTCTATTCCTCATTAATGAAGATAGGAACAAAATTTTATTCTTTTCAATAAACGTAAATAATTACTATCACAGACACATTAAAATAACTCCATGTTCTATCACCACAAAATGTACATTCAAAATTAATTTACCCTAAACACACCAACCTCATACTTTTACGGTGGAGTTGGTATTACTATCTAATCCATTCACGGCAGGCTGGACATCAGTCCGAGGACGCCGGAAGAGGAGCACATGAGGCTCAGGGTTATGGACCATGAAATGCAGCCAGCCAGGACTCTGTTGTACTCCCAGGTTGCGCCATTCCGTCTCAGTCATGAGATGGGACTTGGGTACCAGGCGGGCTATATCCGGAGGCAAGATGACATGCCTGAAAATTACAATAACATAATATTTAAGTAATGTTACTTTGTTATATGTGATGTGATGTTTAATTAATATAAGAAAGACTAGACCAAATGGTAATGCTTTGGTAAGACTATTTTCAACAATGACATCATTAATTTTTTTTTTAAATTCCTGCCTACTGTGAGTTTGTAACTCCATCAGTTAGCAACCTCAGGCTTTATAAGAAGAATGTTGACAATAAATGATGAAATATCTTAGAAGGTGGGTAAATAAATAGTGAAAGGTTGAAAATTTTACAGAAAATATACAACCATATTGTGCGACGTAACACTTCTGAGGATGACGTAAATCAACCTCAACACAAACAAAAACATTGATATATAGTAAATATGTTATTTTTTACAATATAAATTAAGTAAAAATAAGAAAGAAATGTAATAAACTTACCTATATTCATAGACGTCATCAGTGTATCTCTGCGAGTACTGAATTTGATCCACAGGCATGTTGCACTTAATTAATAATCACCTCTGTCTACTTAGTGAAATCACGTGCAAAAACAAATTCACTAAAACCGAAAAGAACACTGATAATTTGAGTTTTCGGAATATTCCAGCAAGGCACCACCGATTTTGTAACGCAGAAAATTTCAATTCAAATGACAATGACGTTGACTTGACGTTTATCTCCGATGCATTCAGAATATGAGATGTGTATAGTGTACACGTGGTATTTTAGACCTTTAATTATTATTCTGATGAAATAATTTTAATAGTGTATAAATAAATATAAACACTGTATTAAATTAAAAAAGTTTATAATTCTTATATTTTTTGCATATTATTCTATTTTCGTAAAAAAAATCATTTTGTAGAAAATAATCAACGATTTGAACGCCCTTTCCCGCGCGAATACTGCAAACAACACAACACTCCGTTTCACACAAAAAAATATCAAAGTTTAATGACAACCATGAGAATACTTATAGTAACTGAAAAAAAGATTGTAGCGAATAATATTTCTGAATTCGTTTTCAATGAAATAAGCAATTATTTAACAAAAACGTTTCGCCAAAATGCCTGCTGTCTCTAATACATAATTATTAAATTGATTAACTTTGGCAATTTTCCTAAGGCTTTATTACTGTAAACATATATCACCTACCTACATATACATCGCTGTAAATATGTATCTTACGCATGTATTACACACGTGTATTTCTAGTAACTGACACATTTCTATACTTAAATAATTGGTTCGGGAACAATCTTGCGCAAGAGGGAAGGGCAGATGATAGACAGCTGATTGCATGGTTAACTGTTGAAACAACCGGTGATATTATTCAATCACTGCGACCCCAGCCGTTGTAACAATTCAATAATGCGCCCCACACAAGTAGGATAGCCATCGTTTTCGAATAATGTCCTGCATAAGATATCTACTTCATCGTTATCATCTTTTTAAGTAGCTTCTACTACTACTCGGTGCATTACTGAAAAATTTTAATAACAACGAGCAACGAGTTACGTTTTGTAATCATCACCCGAAAATGTGCCTCAACAGCTCCTCTTCTCACACGAAGAAGGAATGAGCATTAATTACCACGCTCCAAGCGGTGTGGCGAAATAAAACTTATATTTTTTTAAGAGTGGGAGAGCCATGTTTCGGAACGAATCGATCGGCTCTGCGATATTTTCCTGCACAGTAGGTTAATGATTCTAAATAAGGTATAGAAACTATATTTTAGCTCGGAAGAAGTCATAATGTCAGACGAGTAAAACGGACGAAATTATTGTAAAGCTTTCAAATATTTTTTTCTTTTTTTTTTCTTTAAAACACATTGGCCCACACTAGGATTTTCTCCTGTGTCGTGGGTGCTGTTACAAATACACAATTTTACATACACAATACATGACAACCAGACCCGGAACAACAATTTGTGGATCACACAAAGAGTTGTTCCGTGCGAGAATCGAACCCTCGACACGATTATCAACTAAGACTCTTATAATATACGATAAGATGGTGACCTATCTACATCAGTACCTACATATATTATTATAATGTACGGAAAAATCCCAAATTGTTCTACAAAGATGGTTACCCTGGAACCACTACTAGGGAGTTATGAAAATGGTTCTGCAGTCGAAGCCAGTCTTCAATCCAGTCAGGAGGTCCAGACAGTAGATAGTGGCTTACCGGTGTCATGTCGGAGATCACGCTTGATTTCCTGCAGGGCTTGCTAAAAGATGAATATCCTGATGTAAGCATCCAGCAGTTTGAGGTATGTACGTGTGGTGGAAACGAAGTAGGAAATTGGTGGTTGAATTGTCAGATTTTAATGGCACTTTGTTTTCAAGAAATTATTTCTAGTTTATTTAGTCTGTTCTCCTTCATAATTTGGATCAATAAACGTGCTGTTGAATCGGGTGATTGTGACTTGCCTCTATCTATTACTAATGCACTGGTATTGTACAGTGCTATTCGTTCACTCGCCAATCGTACCGTATCATACCGTAACCGACGGTATCGTCAGACTCGCGAAAAGCTAATGGACGAAAGTGGCGAGATGTCGTTTGTCGTAGGGAGATAAGGGGGGTGCCTTTGTTCAGCAGTGGGCTGTTTCCAGCGAATGAAGATGCTTTTCATCATTAACATTTCCAACAGCCCCTTAGAGTATATTACTCCTTGACAATAGAAAGTTTTGGCATTATCTCCAGTGCAGTTTAAAATAGCACTGCTATTACTATTACGGTATGTAAATAGGAACTTGACACCTGGCTGGTAACGTTTGACAATTTTGTAGATCAAGAATCAGGATTGTAATCACTGTAAAGTGTGCATTGTTGTTTTTTGCTCTCAGGGCGCTCCTGGTTCTAAGCGAGGTGATAACTACACTTCAATGGTCTACCGAATCACATTGAGCGGCATCCGAAGACACGTCGAACCTGACGGCTCAAATGAAAGTGATGAACCTTGGGAAAATACCATCATCTACAAATGCCTCCCAGAGAGCATTTTGCGAAGAGAGGCTTTCAAAAGCGATGAACTTTTTTGCAATGAAGTCGCGTTTTACACCAAGATCTGGCCAGCTTTGCTTGACTTTCAGAAACAATGGAACATTCCCAACCCGTTTAAGGCAATCCCGAAATGTTACTTGGCCCAAAACGATTGTGTTGTGCTGAAAGATCTGAAGAGGGAAGGGTATGTGATGCCAGACAGGCACCAGGGTCTGACTGTGGAGCAATGCTACTTCGTGTTGAAGCATTTGTCGCAGTTCCATGCACTGTCACTGGCTATGAAGTGTCACAACCCTGAGGCTTTTTATGAGCTGTTGAACATTAAGGATGGCATTACTGAAGGTGATTTTTTCTAATAAACAAGTAGTATTTTCTGTGTCTTGTAAACGTTTCCTTTAATATATACAATTTTAGACTGATTTTGATTTATTTTGCTTTCTAGTATTCTACGTCGAAGAAAATGTAGACTACTATAAAAATTACTACATGGAAGCTACAAGAAATGCCATAGCCATGGTGGAACAGGAGTTAGCTAATGCTGAAGACAAAGACCACTATCTGGAGAAGTTCCGAAGCTTCTGCAGTGAGGAAACCTTCTTCCATACAATGGTGGAGCTTGTTACTCCTAAGGAACCCTTAGCTGTAATTGGACATGGAGACTGCTGGACCAATAACTTCTTATTTAAATATGTAGATGGAGATATTGCTGATGTAAGTCTTATTTTGACTCTAGCCTGTTTTGCATTTTTGATTAAGTATACAACTTATAGAGACAAAGTCAATTAAAGACAAGACAGTATCATGATTTGTTTCATGGACACTTTTCACTCAGATCTTAATAACGGAGGAAACGTCGTTCTAAGTACAGCCAACTCTCTAATCTTGCAGTCAAGTTTCTAAAAACCATTTATTATTAAGAGAATTTCTTTCCAGATGTATATCGTGGACTTCCAGTTAGTCCGCTACGCTTCTCCAGCTCTCGACCTGGTCTACATAATGTACCTGTGTCTGGACCGCCAACAGAGAGCAGAACATCTCTCCTCACTTCTGGAGTATTATACTGATGAACTGCATCGAAGACTGGTGATGATGAGTGATGACGATTCTGTCTTTAATACCAGTTTGAATCGAGATGCCTTGTTTGAATTGTAAGTATATTATTATGATTCAGATTAGGTAGTGACAGGCTTCTAGAACTTAGGGATTCCTCAAAAATACTACTGGGCATCGAGTCTGCTATTACAATAGTGTCAGAATAGTAGATCATTGGTTATTTTGAAAAGTTCTTGATTTTGACAAGTTTGGTAATCTACTAACAAGATAGCGTCATTATGACTTTCCAATGCCACTTAATTGAAATAATTGTTTAAAACGGTAATCTCGTACTTATTGGCAAATGAATATTTGAGATAATACGGTAATATAAAAAAATAATTGTCAGTTTCTTTATTCAATGATTAACGTTTAGAATATTAATGTGCAGTTATTATTTATAATTCGTTACAAGACATCTCGTACTATAATTCTATTACACGACATCGCTGAACGCCAATGATCAGCCATTTTGAATTAACAGATTACGATTTTTTAGCAAAATGACAATGGAATCGTGTAGGAATGACAACATTTTGAAAATAGTAGACTCGGGCCCCTGATCTTTTAAAACCTTTCTTGGAATTTGTCTTAGGTTACAAGAGGAGTTCAAACGTGCAGGTCGGTTTGGTCTCGGCATAGCAGTGGACATGTATCCTATAATGACATGCGACAGTGATGAGGCGCCTAACTTGTATCAGCACGAGGTAAAGGTAATTGTTAACAGAAACGATCTAATTCTTTATTGGGGTCAAATAAAACTGCCGTGCACTAGGTACTCATACCCAGTTGTACCTATTATAAATCCAAAACCCACTTTCGTCTGATAGGTTACAAGACGTTCAAAATATGGAGCTGGTCCTATCTAGAAATTATACCATACTAAACATTAAAGAACCTTTTTTATGATGGGGAAAAATGAAAAAAAATATTTTCTATAACAACTGGAAAACGATTCCAGTAATATGATTTCTCTCGCGTCATTTCAATTTGCACCAAAGTGAATAAAACCTCCTCCTCAATCAGGATAGCGAGCCATCATCAACATCGCGTGTCCAGCCAGTTCACACCAACAGTGCAGCTTGCAGCCGAAAGATGACAGAGCTGGTCATCGAGCTAGTGGATGCTGGAATCCTTTGATGATCAGGAGATAAGCCTGAAGGTCCAGGAATGAGGAGTATGGTGGAAGGAGGTGGATTGTTATCAAGGTTTTGAAAAGACTGTAGGGATTATTGTAATTTAGTTCTTATGATTGGTGTTCTACAAATATCATGGAAAGACCGTGTTCTTTTGTTCTTCATAATGAATTGGTCTATTTGTCATCTTGTAGATCAGTATAATGGTATACTAACTTTTAAACTTTCGCGTTTCATCTTAAGAACAATATATTTACGCGGGTATTAACGCGGAAAATTATAATTTGAATACCTTGGTAGGCTTGACGTTTCGACCCGGTTGCACAGGTCGTGGTCACAAGCAGACTGACTGACTTTCAATCGGGAGGACGGTTTTAAATTGTCGTCGACGTGGAATCCAGTGCTTCGCAAAACACAACCTCGCTTTCCTTCAAAGTCGGTTAACACATCTGTGGATATAATCAGCGTAGTGTGTAGACGGCCTAATATGGTAGAAAATGAAAATAAGGGGGTAGATGAAGATTCATCACCCGAATGCAGGGAGCTGTGACATCGCGTCTTCAGTCTGCTTGTGACCACGACCTGTGCAACCGGGTCGAAACGTCAAGCCTACCAAGGTATTCAAATTATAATTTTCCGCGTTAATACCCGCGTAAATATATTGTTCAGTATAATGGTGTTTTTTATTTCTATTTTTTTTACTTTAAGTTGATTGTAAAGATGGAATAAAATAACGATTTGTATGTCATAGGTATGTCAATTTATTGCATATCGTTTAGTTTAAACACGTACAATAAAATATTGGGTTAAAGCCTTAAAATTATTTTACATTAGGTATATTTTGTGACAATGTGTCCCTTTGATCAAGATCTATTGGATATTAATATAAAAATCAGATCCTTTTGCCATCTGCGCTTCTTTGAATTAAAAAAATGTCTATACTACTTATCTATCTAATTCATTATAATATTTATATTAGTAAGTATACTATATATAATTCAATAAAAAATGACTTTGATAAATGGGATCCTCCCGGTACAATTTGTGGAAATTTTCAATTGTTTGATTATAACTAGCCTACTTACACACTGGGAATTTTATTAAATGTTGATTTTTCCGAAAACTGTTTAATATTTCTCTTCTATGATTAAAAGCTTGCTGCCGGACTTGCTATCTCTTTTTCACTTACTGCGACTGAGTAAGTTGGCTAAGGATAGCGATAACTTTAATAAAAAAATAAAATATACGCTTATTAATCTTTTCAGATGAAACGTTAAGCAGTTTTAGGAAAATTACAATTTCGTTCATTATTGCGAATTTCCAAAAATTGATATCACGGTGACGCCCTTACATTAATTTAATAAAAATGGTAATTTAAATAAATACCCGTACTATCTCGTGGCACATTCACTGAATTTTATTTTTTATTAAATTAAATAAAAACATAATATTACTTTAATAATAATTACGTACGGGTTCGTTACGTATATGACAACGTTCTTTGTAAACAGATCTAATTATAAAACTTATAATAAAATAAAATAATCAGTCATTGAAAACTTCAGATTTTGTAACTGTTGAGATTCTAGCGCCTAATACAATCTGAAGTTTCCAATAATTACCTGTTTATTTAAAGATTAATATTTTTTTTTTTGTATTTTATTTTAATTAATACTAACAAGTCTGGTCAGAAAACAAGGCACTTGATCCTCACGTACTTTACCGCGACGAAACTAAGATTTCATATGTTAAAGAAAACATATTATTTGCAATAGCATTTTTTTTTTACTTTTTTCACTAGTTAACCTCGCAGTAATAGTTTGGTCCTGATTTTTTGTCTTTTATTACTTTATTTCGAATTAGCACCAGAACACAAAGATGACCTGTCAAAGGCATACGATGCTGACAGCTCTTCTAAGGTTGCAAAAGCAGCACTTATTTGACGCTTGCCCTCAAGACTTGTTGTGTGGTTACGCCTACCTTTCCTTTGGAAGCCTGTGTAGGCCTCATGAAGCCCGAAGTCGGCCTGCTGTTCAAACTCTTCAGCGGTGGTCTAGCAGTACCTACCGAGCTACCACTGGAAGAAGACCTGGAAGCTGGCATCCTTGATACGGGCTTCGGTACAGGTTTGGGTGTAGGCTTTACAGGTGCTGGTGGAACTCTCTTTACAGTCGATACTGATGTAGAACTATTTAGAGAACTCCTAGAGCTTCTTAGCGAGGCCCTTGATGTAGACCTTTCCACTCTTAAAGAACTAGCCCGTTTTGGAATCACACGTTTGGGGTCTATAGGTGTCCGAGGGGGCGTCCTCGTCTCTTTGGTAGCTATCTTCTTTGGTTGTCCCAACTTGGGAACTGGGGACTTGGAGATTTTCGGCACAGGTGACTCACACTCCACGTTGCAGCCCGACGAAGCACCCTGGGACGCACTCTCTGAATTCAGACTCTGAGTTTCTTCAAACCCTTCATCATTTAATTCGTGTTCACTCTTGACTTTTGACATTCTTGGGGAGGTCGTCCTTTCTGGAACCTTCTCGGGAGCCTTTTCAGTTCGGGTATTGAGAGACTTTCTGTATCCGTCTCTCGACCAAACTCCAGTAGGGTTATCAGCAGGAGATTTAAGTTCTCTGATCGCTTTCTGCACGTCCTCCTGGTTTATAGAAGTCTGCCGCCTCATCCGTAGGTATGGTTTTGTTTCTTTGGTCGATTTGTCTGTACTTTGGCTCTTTAATCTATCCTGCCACCGTTTCAACCTGGTTTCTTTCTCATCTTTACCAGCTTCAATTGGTTTTGCTACTTCTTGCGGTGTCTCAACTTTATATGAAGCTTGGACTTCTAATTTTGAAGGTCTAATCACTTGAGTCTCTGCTATTAGTTCTGGTGCTGGCGGCTCAGGTTTCTTTTCTTCTTCAGGTGAACTATTAGAATCTGTATTCCTCTTATACCTCCTCGTTCTCCTGGCGGCAGAAAATCTGTCAAACTGACCATCACCCAAAATTTCTTGACAAAGGTCTTTCATTTCGGCAGAAGCTTTGTCACTGAGATTGGACCGGGTGGGTAAGGAAGGTTGGAATTTTCTGCAAGGCTCTCGTTCTGGAGGTGGATTGAAGGATGAATTGAACTTCCTTTGCGCTGGTGGAGTTTCGAGGTTATCTGAGTCAATTTCTACTCTGTCCGATTTCTCGGCCCTTTCTTGTCTGACGGTGGTAGATTCTCGGTCGCTAGTGACCTTTATATCGGGCAGTTTCTTTTGTTCTTCTAGTATTGATATCAACGGTTGTGGTGACTCTATTTGCTGTCGCGACCTTTGTCTTCTGAGCCTTCTCATCTCCTCGTTCTCTTCGGTTTTCCTCCAAGGCACTCTGTTGTCCTTTTTCTGCGGTTGTACATCTGGAAATAAACGTAAATTTTGTAATAGTTTGTTCTTATATCTCTTTTTATAATATTTTAATACTGATAAGGTATAAGGAATAGGACACTTAGCAGCTTACCTTCGACAGTCTCAAGTGCCTTGACAACGTCGCTGTCGGGAAGTACGGCAGGCCTCCAGTCGGCGCGGCCCTCAGGCAAGGGCTCGAGGGTTGCGCTTCGCTCGCTCTCTGGAGAAGGATAAGAAGATTAATAAATAAAAAATATTATTAATGACAGAAGACAAAAAATTACTTCAAATTAAATAGCAAATTAAGTATTGCAATAAATTGTATGTACCGGAGTCGTTTTCCAAGGAGCGCTTGTCGTTGTGGAGGCGCATGGTGCGCGTGCGCGGGCGCGCGTCCTCCTGGCTGCTCGCGCGCAGCCACGACTCGATCTTCTGCCGCCACTCCCTGCACACACACAACACACAATATTAGTAACTACCAACATTATAAGAGACAAAAATCAGCAACAAGTTATACATCATCATCATCAGCCTATAAGTGCCCACTGCTGAGCAAAGGCCTCTTCTCATACGGAGAAGGTTATTGGAAATATCTATTATTCATTGTTTGTTCAATAGACGAAAAATATTGTGATATTAGTAGTCGTCAGATGGAACAATATAAAATAGATAAATATAGATTAAACATATTAAAATGTGTGCATACTTGGGCTTAGCGGGCGCTGTCTCAGGTGATGCAGGTGCAGGCGACGCTGGCGCAGGCGGGGTGGGGGTGGAGGGGGCGTGCGGGGCGCGCGGGGACGGAGGCCGCTCGCGCGCACTCTCCGGTATCTCCAGGCGAGCACGGGCAGCGCCGCGGCGAGACCAGGAGCGATCTAAACAAGAAAATTTAAATATAAAATAAATATTGTAGAACATACCTAGAAACGTAACGAAATTCCTTTCACTACTGCATAAGAAATACATAGCTGTAAAATGAATTGACAAGGTTGTCTTACCGAGACTACCCCATGCACTTCTTTCTCGAAGATCGTTAGCAGCTGGTGACGAATGACGGAGGAACTCCAGTAAGCCTTCTTCATCATCACCAGGACTAGCCCTGCTTCTGCGGCGTAAGCTACCGGTTGGAGTCACATCTGGAAGATGTCAGAGTTGTTGTTTAATGTTAATGCTACATAAGCATTCCAGCGGTTTTGGGACTGCAGTACGATAAGTAGAAATAAAATATTATAAAGGTAAAGGTTATACCAATTGTAATGCCTTTGTCATCTACCATATTTTTGTTTAGAACACTGCACAAGTGGTGGGCAGATATCAAAACTTTTATAGCAATCTATCACTTATTTCAGGTATACTGACCAGGCGAAGGAGATGGATCATGTGGTTTCCTGAGCGATCTCCTGCCCAGTCCGTTCCTGATGTCCAGCAGTAGCGACTCCATGAGAGACTCGCACTCAGATACAGGTGTGCTGCTGACACTGCTTGTTCCTGCATTTATATAATTGGATTTGTATAAAGAAGATTCCAAAATAAAAAGTTGGACCAGTTTGTCATAAGTATTTTTCTGAATGCTTTAGTTAAAGATAAGTCTGCTTACCGGTCTTTACTCTAGCGGCAGCCATGTCCCTGGCTCGTCTTCTAGCAGCAGCTTGTTCTTCATTAGCTCGCCGTCTTTCATTATCACTTACAGCAGACCTGAACTTGCTGCAGAACCACACAAACAACTGGAACACAACAATACAAATGTTATTGCACCGTTGAGCAACTTTCTTCTATTTAAAGTACCTAATCCCTTAAAGCTTACCCCATGAATAAACAAGGTTTCATTCTAAAACTGTATCTTTCTTACCTTGAAACATTCCTCTAATTTAAACGACACAGGGTCTTCACAGAAGAATTCAGCAAGTTGTTTTCTGATGCTTTCGACCTCCTCCATATCTTTGTCGAGAGCTGACACCTCTTGTTCAGCCACCTAGAAGAATACACTTTCTTAGAAACATTGGTGATTGCCACCTTCTAAAAATATTTTACACACAGCCCGCAAATCAATTTATGTGAATTTATTTGACTTTATAACTAAATTATAGAGTTGAAAGTTGATCACACTAATTTTCCAGAAAGTGTTTTGCAAACAAACCTGCAAGAAATCTCCCATCTGTTCCTTAATATCCTGCTGCGTGCTTGGCATCTGAATCTCCTTCTTCAAGCCTTGTATCCTGTTGGCCAGGGTCTTGATCTCATTGTGCAACTGTTCCACAGTGGCCTTAGCAGCTTCTTCCAGTACGCGCGTGTCGTCCGCAAAGTGAATCAGTTCTTTGTTTTTGCGTTCAGCTTGCTGTTTGGACAAGACATTTTGGATTAGTATACCAAAGCTTTGCATTGTTAATGCAGTTAGTATTGACTGAAAATGAATTTGGTCCTAGTCGTGCTTGCAATTAAGTAATGAATTGAATAATTGTGGCGTACAGAATCTTAAGGGATTTGGAAACTAAATAAAGGTGTAAAACGGTGAAAATAAAGGTGTAAAACGTAAAGAAACATTTTACTTACCATTGCCACATAGTGCATGAGCGTCATGCCAGGTTTGTTGGCCCTGATGTCTGGTAGTTTCTGCAGAGAGGAGAGCTTGACTCCTGCCGCTCCTCCGGCATAGCCACCAGCATTCAGGAAGTTACCAGCGATTAGCGCTATGTATAGCACCTCCTGGAAAGGAAAAACAATATTAATAATTTTATAACCCAAATAATCTAGTTGATTGTCCATATACACTATCATAGATCTTAAGAACTAATTTTTGTAATGGTTATATCTACATTAATATATTACCTGTAAAGCTCTTGAAGACATCAGATCATCACCAGCCACCAGAATAGCGTTGATTGCACTCTCCAAGTACCCTGATGTTGAGGCCCATTCTTCTTTTAGGAGCATACATTCAATTCGCAGCTTGTAGCTGTAAAGCCACAACAATAACATAAATAAACAAATATAGATTTATCAGAAAGTTTCACAAGCAATATACTTCTAAATTTTTGAATAGTATTTTGGTCTTTTGAGCAGACTGAAGAATTCAAGTTAGTAGACCAAAAATATCACTTACTTAGGAAGTTGTATAAGTTGTAATAAGAACTTCTCAGCTGTTCCCAACTTTGTGACGTCACCGGTGAAAGCCTTAAGCATCTCAGACTCATCTATCTCAGGTAAGATCTTGAGAAGACCACGCAGCTTCTCAGTACCAATGTCGTCGTGAGCTCCCTCGCGTATTAATTGAATTATGTCCTCGTTGGAACTGGAATAGAATGAAAAATTTTAGTGTTTTGAACTGTTTTATGTGTTGAAAAATAACAATGCTCAATTATCTTAACTGTATTTATGTTTACCTTCTAAACTGCTTCAAGAATATATTAACATTAAGACTCCGCTTGCCGTCTAGAAGTGTGATTTCAGAAGATTCTTTCCTCGGCTTTCTCTCACCAGAGCTATCGCAGATGGGACTTCTTCCTAGCCTAGGTGAGGAGCCGGCTGATCCTGTTGGTTGTATCTGGAATAATAATAATTTTGTTAAAGTAATACTCATAAGAGGCTCGATTTCTCTGGTGGATACAAAGGGGCTGATGGTATTAATAACGTTGCAGTGAAGCAGATTGAGATGCAGTTTTTTTACAGAATAGTATAGTGCTCGAGAAACTAACCTGTTGGCAGAAGAGGCCTTCGATCTCGGTCCAGTCCAAGTCTGCCTTCGGTGAGTGTTTGTGACTCGATGCTACCAGCGACCAAATGTTATTTTGACCAATGACCTGAAAAAATGTAAAGAATTTACTACTAATTCTTAATCACGAGCAGATGTAATCTCATTATTATTTAATATCTCAAGCATTTATTTAGTTACAAGTCTTAAAAGAATCAGAACCTACTTTGTTATTAGGAATTTTATTCCAGTTTATAGTTTTCATCTTAGTCTTCGGTATGGGGGTTTCCTGCTGCGGCAGTTTGATATCTAGTGCTGGTGCTGGTGGTGCTGGTGCACAGCTTGAGGGTGGCGGTGGGACTGGTGGGGGTGGGGGGCCGCCTGGGGGCGGTGGGGGTAACGGAGCTGGAGGAGGCGGTGGTCCTGGAAAATAAAATACAAAAAATAATGATAATCGGTCTTTAAAAGATAAAGGATTAAGGGAGTACCAAGTATAAATGAAATGCTATGTTTTCTAAAGACAAAGATATTAATAGCTTTTTTTAATTATGAATGTTAGCCATTTAATGGCAAGAGGCTTTTCTTTGTAACTCACAACTACATTGATGAGAAGCGAGTTTTAAATACGATAGTTTCCAACAAGTCAAATTCAATACTTTTATCCAAACATCAAAAACGTTACTTTTCTAATAAATCAGTTTTAATTTAAAACTTACTGTATCGATCGATCGATGAATAAATATTATATTGTACGATGTATAATTCAATATTTTATTGTATTGTAACGTCGAATCAATTTATTTTTGACCTAGGAAACTACCCAATCAAATCTGTTTTGAATGCATACTTAGTATAGAAGAATTTTCTAATTGGTCTCGTAGTCAGCTTACCTGCCATTGCAGGAGGTGGTGGTGGCGGCGGTGGTGATAACGCTCGCTGGAGACTTTGCTTTCTGCCACCGCCTGAGATATCACGGTGTTGGCAGGTACACCCCACTTTCGCCTGGAAAATAAATAATATTTATAAACCAATGAATAACAACAAACGAGTAGAATATTATCAATATGATAAATAGTTACGAAGGAATGGAATGGGTATCAACTGTTACAGCTAGATATTGTTAAACTGATTATTGGAACTTCATACACCACATGGAAAAAGTCCAATATCAACATGTACTAAGCACTGTATCACCTACTAGCAAAAATTAACAGTACTGAAAATCCCAAAATGGCGGTTGCGTTCCTTATTTACTAATTAACATGTTTTGGATGTCGAAGCGAACTTAATCACACGCATGAATCCTAGAGAGATAAGAAATTCTTCATTTTTACTTCCAATGATACTAACCTGCACACTTGGTGCTCTGAGCAGCTTGGCAGCATCTTCTCTGGTCTCCAGGAGTGTGGCACGGTGGACCAACGTTTCAGCTGTGTCCCAAACGATGTCGCTCACTGGCTCCTTGGGATCTATCCTTAGGAGATGCTGCAGTATGCTAAGGAATGGGATCTCTTGTGGAGTTTCCGCTACCTGAAAGAAGATTTGAAGTTTGTATATGGAGAACATCTTCCATGGTTTTAAGTAAGTTTTTGTTAGGTATTTTGAAAGGGGAATTATTGGAATTGATTCATATTTTATCAGTGCTTTTGTATTTAAGGTGCAATATGAGAATTTTCAGATATAGTGAAGCTACTGTAGCCATTGAAGATTGATATTTCTTTTCTGAGAGTTTCTTCACGATTATTTTTGATTTTAACTTCTCTAAATAGAACATTTACCTGTTTGAGAATCGCATAGAAAACATCCAGATGCGAGTTGAGGTTGATACCTCCGGGACCCTGGGCTTCATCACTCTCTCTTTGTTCCTCAAACACGTCCAGCTGTACGCCCAGGTCTGGGTGACTGGCTGCCTCATGTCTGGAAGAGAATTATACGTTGAGGTTAAAGTTCAAATTATTTTCATACTAGTACTTAACAGCGTGTGCATATTAGACCTGGAGATTCTTTAATCGAATAATTGAAATCCATATAAGGATAGGTACAAATATTAACACCTTGCAAAGTTTTAAATAAGTTTCACTACTAAGTAAGCTTAGACAAAATAAACATTGAGAATCTTAGTAAAACTTTCGTTTTCATCTCATAGTTTTGGTCAACAATGCAAACTCGACACCTACAACAAAAGATCGAGTGGTTTACACAGTATGACGCAATCCTTCGATAATTTAATCAATAGCCCGCTAGTTGAGATCAAGTAGTTCTCACGGATCGAGTGCAAAAATATGGTTTTGAGGGAAAGTATAGAAACTTTAGCCTGAGGCAATTTAATGTGGAGTTTGAGATCATGCAAGTGCCTCTTGGCAGGTTCGTTCCAAGTTCTTAGTTTTACACTTTAGACGTAATCCACTTTGGATTGAAAGGTTCAGTGAGAAGCCAAAGGCACTCAATACTTTAGATATTGAATAAGCAAGAAGATTAAATTAAGAACGCAAAAGATGGGTACTCGTGTTGTGGTCTTGAAAAATAACACCTTTTTTTTTTTTTTTTTTTTTTTGTGAGGGGAAAATCATCAAATGACTTCTCCCGCCCAGGGCCGGGCAGGAGGGAGTGTCAGACTCTTACTGACTAAAAACCCCCCTGTTCCTTCTCCTGCTCTGTGCCGAGGTCGCGGTACCTTATTGCGCTTACCCCGCAACCCCGGCTGAACATCAGCCCTTTAGGGCCCCGTCTGTGGTGGTCTATTGGCTCTTTGAGGCGCGCGCGGAACGCTACGCGCCGTACGCTCGGGCCTGGTTCTGGTCGGGCGGCGAGCTGCCCTTACTCGCCGACCGCAGGCCCGTACTTACGGTGGCCGGAGATCGTCCCTCGATCCCCGACGCCCGTAGTGTCGCCAGTTGCGGCTGCTGGGGCGTGAGGAGGAGGATTGCTCCCTCACGCGGGCCGCCTCTCTCTTTGCGAGCATGACTGCTTCACAAAAGGAGGAGACGGCGTCCCAGTTCCTCTCACTCCGCACCATGGCCTCGACTAAGGCCGGGCGCGAGAGGTCGCCGCCGCCGATCACTTCCCTGAGGATACGGCGGTGCTCAGCCCAGGCAGGGCATACCGCTACCGTATGCTCCACCGTATCCTCTAGGTGGTCCTCACAATGACGACACTCGGGCGTTTCCTCCCGCTGAATCCGAAACAGGAACCTACCGAAGCTGCCGTGCCCGGTAAGCACCTGCGTCAGACGGAAGGTGAGGACGCCGTGGCGTCTCTCAAGCCACTCCTCAAAGAGGGGTCTTACCGCTGCTATGGTAGCGTGCCCGACTTGTTGTTTTAGATGTTTGAAGAAGGACTTTTCGCTAGATGCGTAATAATAATAATATTTTTGTTGTACCTAGATTTAAAACGACTTTAAAAAAGGCAAAATAAGGCTTTTTACTTAGGAAAAATGTATTTTCTACAAGCGTTGACTTGGGTACATATAATAAATATGTATTTCCAGCCTTTGTGAACTTTTTCTTTATCGTAGATTCTAAATTTAATATATTGAAACTAATTAAGAACCTAATGATGAATATCTCCTGCATACTTAGTCAAGGGTTGACATGCGTGATGACACACAGGTAATAATAATTATATCCAAGTTACTAACTTTAACTTTAGCTGATTCAGCTAAGTATAGGTAATCATGAACCGGTTGGCTTAGTTTAGTCACTTATCCGTTGCTAATATTTTAACGAGTGGTATTATACACGGCCATATTAGGACCGGACAGTCGACCAAAAGATGCGCCTACGCACACTTTAAAGTTTGGTTTTTCAACTAAGTACATAAGTTGCGGTTTTAGTGATACTTTTTGTGTAAGTTAGGGTTATTTTACTTTTTATGATTTAAGTTGTGTGGATTAAATAGTATTCTAAGTATATTAGGACTTATGTCAAACTGAATTAGACATTAGTATTATTAAAAAAAAATTAGTTTTTTCAATTAGATACTTCTGTTAAGTAGGTAGGTATGGATTTTTTGTAAAACCTGAAACATTTATTTTGCGATAATTATTTTCGAATATTATGTATTTAAAATTACATAACATGAGCTTCCTCGGTTTGGGTCTGTATGTAAATACAATGATTATTTTCGTTCTGTTTGCTGTAAAAGAATGTCTAAAATATTTTTCTATATATCTCTTCTTCTTTTAGACAAAGTTTTGATATCGTGAATACCTTTGATCTGTACCTTACACAGTGTATCACAGTGTCGATACACAAAAACAATACGATTTGAAAGAGTTTTCGCCCTCCAATGGGTGATTAATTTAACGACGACTTGGGACATGTTCTGGTTGATTTTGTACTAATTACAGAACGATTGTGTGTAATAATTTTAATATAATGTAGGTAGAAACTACTTATGAGTCTTCGTGTTTTATTTGTTAAAAAGAGTTTATTGTCTACTCCTTACTCGAAAGGAGTAATCTGTAACAGTCTGATGTTTAATTAATTATAAAGAAATGCCGGCTTCATCTTGTTTTTATATTTAGGTATAACTAATAACTAGCAGACTCAGCCACGCGTTGCTGTGGCTAAGGTAAATAATATTTTGTGACTATAAATTAAGATGTAAGCTATCCTATCTTTTAAGTTGGATCAAAATACACACGGAATGCAAATCAAATTTAAAAACGGTTTAGTATTTTAGGAATCCATCGCGGACAAACACGTGAGACGAATTTTTATATGTAAAGATTGGACGTGTAAATGATCCGTTTTATAGCCTATCAGCAAAAATAAATTCATTGCATCATTGAAAAATAAAAGAGTCTTAGAATAATATACAAAGTTATCGTTCGAGAATTTACGAATTCTATGACATTTTTCTCCACCATCGATGCGAAGTACCATTCCATACTTAACGTAGGTAGTCTTTACAAATCTGCAAAAATATTTCTACCCAGCAAAGTTATTACTTCCAAGCAACAAAGCAGTTCAGATATCATAAATAAACAAATGACAGTTTTACAAAATTTATCGCATTAAACAAATTGCTTAATCAAAAAACAAAACAAGAAAACACAATAAATAACCATAATAATAACAAAGTAAAAAACGATTACCAAACAAAAAAACTGTAAACGTATCAACCGTTTTTTTTGTTCTAGCTATAAAATTACGGAGTTCGATCGAGCATGACGGACAAAAACATTTAGCGACAGGTACATGTACTAAGATACTTAGAGGCTATTTGTTCTCAATACCTTATATTTTGTTTATAATCATCATCATCATCATCAGCCTATAGGAGCCCACTGGAGCAAAGGCATCTTCTCACACAGAGAAGGATTGAGCAATAAGCACCACGCTTGCTCAAGACGGGTTGGTAATTTTAAACTTATAATTAGGAAATTGAATAATTTTTGAAAGTACATACTATTCGGAAAATGTCACTTTGGCACTTGTCAGATTTCGAACCCGCTATTTTATTGAGTTACACCTAATACAGAAGGTGATTAGAGATTACTGTTAATTTAAATGAATAATTATAATCCATCAGCTAGTTTGGCATTCCATAACCCAAAAAAATAAATAAAAAAAGAAGAAATAAGACATGGAAGCGAAGTTAGAAAAAATACCTATGTATATGACTATATAAAAATATATTTTCCAAGTTCATGTTATTTAAATGAAAGAGTAAAGCGCACAAAGCCATGGCCTCAGTCTAGTCGGATAACACATACAACTTGACATATAAGTCCAAGTTATCTATAAATAGCTGAATATAATTTCTAGTTGTAACAGGCTAGATTTATGCTTTTTGCACACCGCTCCTTTATGATTAATAATATGTTAATATTATTATCTATTATGCCTCCTTATATGTTAATTATTATGTATCCTTTGTGGGAAGGTTAATAATGAGATAACGGTACTTTAATCCTTAAAGGGATTATATGGTTTTCTTTAAGTAAGAAGGTGACTTTACTTTGTATTTTTTAATGAAATGAATTGACAAGTTTATAGTTTGTTTTATTTTAGTAGCTTTTTTTAATGCCAACAGGTGATATTTTCTTTCTGGGTAATATGAAACATTGTTTTGGTATACGTGGCGTGTTCAGTAAGTTAATTTTAAGATAAATTTATTAATTTAACCTTTCAAACCTAAAGGTAATATGAGGCACAATAGTTAGATATGTGTACGAACGCCGGCGTTCGCTTGGGGTTTAATGAATTGGAGGCATTCTAAATTTGACTAAGGTTTTCAAGACGATAGAAAGAGCTTCCAGATGGAATCTACCATCCAATGGGAGCTCTCAACTTCGCTAATAAGAACTTTCAGGTCAGCACAAATGCATGGCTTATTGTCTCTAGAGTGCTATGTAGCAGATAAAACATCTAATTAAAAATGGAAATTATATTTCTTTGCTTACCTTAAATTATTTAACGCCGGCAGAAGTCCCAGTCCTGAAAAAATAAACACACACATTAGTTGACTGATCTATAGGTTGACTTAATAGGTCGCAAATAGTTTTTGATTAACATTTAGTTATAACCGATTATGTATAAGTTAAATGTGCTTTTAGGAACTCTCGTTGATCCACTCTCATTATTATGTTATCGAACTCTCAGTTATAATACTTTATCTATCTATCTTTATATATCTATAAATATATAATATACAATCCTTTTGAATAGGTACTTAAATAACTTTAAGTATCTATCTCATCATCAGCCTGATTTCGTCCACTACTGGATATATACCTCCGCAATTGCACATTGACTGAGTTCGATGTTCAGCTCTTCTCATCCAACCACTGCCAGCCACCCAGCGAATATCATCAGTCCACCTAGCTGGACAGCCAAGCAGCCCTACACTACGTTCTCCTACTTAAAGTACCTATTCAAGTCAAAACCAAATGTATAGTTCAGTTTCATGATTTCTATTGTCCAGTCACAAATCGCTAAGTCTAATACGACTATGGAATATCAAAACTTACCAATGAACTCGTTCCTGACGCGGATCCTATCGGGTAGCCGTGGTGCGGATATGATGAGGCAGTTGATGAAGGCCAGCAGAGCTGTCTTGTAGTCTGTTGTGGCTGCATTCTTTAACTCTTCAACTACCACGCTTAGCCGGTACCTTTCACCTTTTAGAGACTGGAACAATATGATGATAGGTTAAGTTAGTATTGTATTATTTTATGTTGTTCTTCTGTGGATTTGTGTGGTGGGAATTTATAGACATTGATCAAATTGACGTAGTCGATAGGGACGATTTTACATGTTTTTTATTTTATAGAAACGTTGCCCTACATTAGGATTTTCTTCTGTGTCGAAGGTGCGGTTACAAACATACAATTTCACATTCACATCACCCAGACCCGGTATAACAATTTGTGGATCACACAAAGAGTTGTTCAGTGCGGGAAGTGAACCAGCGACACGTTGCACGGCAGCCAATTGTCCAGGCACCACACCAACCTTGACCACCACAGACGGGGCCCTAAAGGGCTGATGTTCAGCCGGGGTTGCGGGGTAAGCGCAATGAGGCACCACGACCTCGGCCCAGAGCAGGAGAAGGAACAGGGGGGTTTTTAGTCAGTAAGAGTCTGACACTCCCTCCTGCCCGGCCCTGGGCGGGAGAAGTCATTTGATGATTTTCCCCTCACAAAAAAAAAAAACCACACCAACCTTGCAGTTTAACATACTCTACGAAATAATAGTAAGTAGGTAGACATTTATGTCAATATGAAAAGAAACTTGATCCCCAGGCGAATACCGGCAATCGCAAGTGACGTCACCGTACCATTACTTTAGAAATATGATTAAAATAATTACTTCTGTACAAAAATGACCTCAAGTGATATAAACAGAAGGTAAATTACAAGTGTTTGTCACTGCACCACGTGTTGAGATAAATATCTAAATAGTTATGAGTAATATGCTAATGTAGTCGGAGATATCGATCGGTTACTTAATATGGCCATTGCTCCACAACACATTGTTTTTTTACCTCAAATTATTCATTGTGTTTACAAAGATATTATTATAAGGAAGTGCTTATTTTGTTGGCACTTATACGTAAATTGTTTTTGTAGTTGACATACTTTTTTTAATTTTCTTACCTATTAGTTAAGCGCCAATAATAAATTTTCAATTATCAGTTTTTTTTCAAAACGTAGTCTATCTATACCTATATATACTAATATTACAAAGAGGTAAAATTATTAAGTTTGTATTTAGGGGTAATCTTTGGAACCGCTTGTCGGATTGCCAAAAGTCTTTCACTGATAGATAGCTATAATGTTCCCGAGTGCTACATAGTTTTTAATAAAATTATTCTTTATCAGGACAAAATAGGAGAGAGGGAGTGTCAAACTCTTACTTACTAAAACCACCCTGTTGCTTCTCCTGTTCTGGCTAACTGGGTGCCGTGCAACGTGTCGCGTGTTCGATTCCCGCACGGAATAACTCTTTGTGTGATCCACAGATTGTTTAAGGTCTGGGTGTGACGTGCGTGTGAAATTGTATGTTTGTGAACGCATCCACAGCACAGAAGAAAATCCTAGTGTGGGCCAACGTTTAAAAAAATAAAACTGTAACCCCGGCTAAAAATGCAGTTCTTTATAACGTGCGACCTATGTAGGTTTAGGACGAAAATGAATACATTAAGGATCAAAATACTTTGTTTGTTATAGGTACTTAATCTTGAATATAAACCTTGGCTTGATTATTGATGAAGTAGACTCACCTTGTATCTCTCTAGGGTGTCGACTGCCCTGGCGTAGCCGTCAGCATTGTACACGCACAGAGCTGATAGGAGCTCGAACACCTGGGGACATGACAATACGTTAGTAATGTTGTTTTCACTAAATATTATTTTAAAAACCGTTTTCTTGAATATGCTCAAGAAATAAAGTAAATTTCGCTTTTCATGAGGAAGAACCCCTCTGTGGTTCGAAACTAGTAGAGCTTTTCTCAATATATACACGTGAGTAACCCGCGATTTTTAGTTAATTTAGTATGTCTCACGATAGTTATTATAAAAACAAATTTCGCTTTTGTTCGATTTTTATAAAAGTTCAGTATGATTTGATTCCGTGTGTCATTATTTTTCAGACTTACTATATACCCGGTTTTTGAAAGGCTTGTCAACGCTAAAATTAACTTATCTCCTGTTAAATCTCTTGTCAAGTCATCTGATTGGTTGTTGATAATTCAGTCAACCAATCAATGACAAGAGATTAAATTGATTTTAACATTGATCGGCCTTTTGGAAGCCGGGTGTCAGTTAGTGATTTAATAATCCAAAAAAAAAAATAATCACGACTAGCTTATAACAATTTGTATGGTAAAAATTTCAAAGAGCTCAAATTTCTTTATGGATATGAGTCCCGTTGTGACTTGAAATTAATCGAGCTTTTCTCGAATAGTTGACGGAAACAAGTCGTATTTCTATTGAATTTCTGAAAGATGTTCTTTTTCATAATGTAATAGGTTTATGATATAGTAGTTACCTGTTTCTTAACGGGGGCGGCAGGGGATGTGAGTGCCGCGGCAAGCTTCCCTGTGTACTCCGCATGTTCTACTATGTAGTCCAGGCCGACACGGCTCTCCATCGCCTCACTGTAATATAAATAATGGTTAGCAAACAATCAACAAACCAAATTCTACCATAAATAAAAAGATATAGTGCTCAAATTCCTCCTTCAAAGGTGTTGTAGTTTTTTTCTCGTTGGATGCCATATTTTACCTGTGTCAATTGCCAAAGTGGTTGTTTATTAAATACTCTATAGCTTAAATCAATTGTAGCTAAGAAGTTTTTAACCTATCATTCTTAATAATCACTATAATACCTTAACAAATTCACTGCATCTTGGGCTCTGAACTTCATAAGTAACGTTGCAAACTGATTCTTATTTACACTTCTACAAGAACTATTTCTAGCTCCACTCGGTACGGGAGTCTTACACATTTTGACGCAATATTTAGGGTCCCATGAGAAATAGAATTTAGAATACACGTTTTTCTACCAATCACAGCGTTTCAATCTCCAATAGATTGATATATTAATGAGATAATTACGATTTATTCTTAAGATGTTGTCACTACAATGACGTCTTTGATAATGCAATATCTTTAAGATGTTGTGTATCTTATAAGCTCCATAGGATTAAGGAATAATCCTAAGCAAATGGAAAATAATTATGAGTTAAAGGTAATTGGGTATTGGTATGCTAGGAGCGATGGCCGGCACGTTTATGGCGTTAATTAACAGTCATATCATGAAAGTGTCTTGTCAATACTATAGTATTGAATAATCGATGGTATCTGATCATGATAGTGATGGAGCAGTGCACCTATGATTGCATAGAATTGTGCAATATAGTATCTTCTTTTTGTGAGGGGAAAATCATCAAATGACTTCTCCCGCCCAAATTCAGGCGGGAGGTAGTGTCAGACTCTTACTGACTAAACCCCCTGTTCCTTCTCCTGCTCTGGGCCGAGGTCGCGGTGCCTCATTGTGTTGTTATATTAATATGTAGTTTGTTTTATAGAATTCAATTTTATTTGTAAGTTTTACTACTCGGTATTAATTTATTTAATAACTTAAAAGCTTTTAACACTCAATTAATCTATAATGAAATAAAGACAAACCAGTTTAACTACCATTGCACTGTGACTAAGTTTTATGAATAATATTATTATAAATCTAATTTTAAATGCACAAGAAGTCATCAAATTCTCAAGGCTTTTAGTTTTTAGATATCTACTGTTACTTAGCTAGATAGATATTGAAAATAGTACAGAAACAAGTTTGATAAATGTCAACAACAACAAAAAGAAAAATAAATGAAGATCGCAAAGATCAATAGATTTTTGGTAGCAACATAAATAATTCCATTTACTCGCCGGGTTATTGATCTGTACTTTTCTACATAATACATATCTATTTAAGTACGTACACAAGAAATCTAAATTTAAAAGGATATTTTTCTTTAAAAAAATCATCATCAAGCCTTCACCGTCGCCTCCTTCACGTTGAAAGAAAATAATATATGTCACAAGTCATGTTTAAAAAAAAATATTCACAATCATTTTAAGATATAGGTACATCATCATCTCCAACCTAGAAGCGTCCACTGCTGAGTAACTGCCTCTTCTCACTTAGAGAAGGTTTGCTCAAGGCGAATTGGTGATTTAAAACTTAAGTCGTCTTAACATTAGAACTTATAAGACCAGTGTTCCACATGATGTTTAGATACCACATAAAAAGTACTTAACTGGGCAATTATCACATTGGTACTTGTAATGTTGCGGACTAGTTCACTCCCGCTCCAGCCTCATCCCCAAGTAGGGAGTGCCTTAACCTCCTGGCCACCTCGACGACATCATCAGCAAAATTATCAGAAAATACCGAACGTCACAGCCTCTGGCTTGAATATGTAATTTACATACATTTCCGAGTACATAGGTTACATTGCAACATTGTGTATATTTCTGCATCAGTTTACATATATAAGTGGCCGACAGATTTCGATGCTTATCTGATGGTTAAACTATCAATTACCCGTATTAATTAACCTATTAGTGACGGTTTCACGCTTTTAAATGTAACTGTTTTAATGTTTAGTTAACTAATATATAAATTAATGTATTAGTGTGTGTTTTACTGTGTTGATTTATAGGTTACTAGCGACTCGCTTCAGCTTTGCACAGATACAATGCTGATACTAAATTCCTCCACTATTTCATGGGTGCTATTATATATAAAAACCATCCTATCTATTGTAAAAACCGCATCAAAATCCGTTCCGTAGTTTTAAAGGTTCCACGCCAATATAGGGATATAGGGACAGAAAAAGCGACTTTGTTTTATACCTACTATGCAGTGATTGGTAGACCTGTATCTTTTTTGTTATATTTGAGATGTATAAAGCGAGATTGTATTTTTAAATAACCTAAAAATACCAAGATACTTACTACTCAAATTATTATTGAAATCACAACAGATAAAAAATAACCAATATTATTAAGTATTTAGAAAAAGAACACAACAAAATAGAAAATAAGAAAAAAATAATAAATAATTGGTTTGGTTCATTATTCATTCATGTGCACAAAATATTCATTTATTGGTCGATATTTATTTTCTTATTTACTAACATCGATATATAATGAAATTATTACATTTCTGACATTGACTAAATCCATTCAGTACCTAAATCTATTTTAATATAATTGCTATATATGTATGAAACTACTGAATCAATGTACGTGTATATATGTGTTTCACACAAATTACTAAGAAGAAAGAAATAGGCGACATTTAATTGTTTGTTTATTTGTATGTATGGAATAGGCTCTGAAACTCCTTGACCGATTCGAAAAAATCTTTCACTGATGGCTAGCTAAATCATCAAATGACTTATCCCTGGCTAAGGCCAGAGGTAGTGTTAGATTTTGACTAAAAACCAGCGCGTTTCTTCTCCTGCTCCAAGCCAGGGTTGCTGTAAATTATAGCGCTTGGACTCGCGATCCCGGCTGACTTGTTTTATGTACTTTATTGTTCAGTTTACTAGATCACGGGATTAAAACTAATAGTCAAATCTTCTGATTAACATAGAGGCGATGGGATATAATATAGGAAAAGTAAGGATTATAGGCAAATCCATGAATATGAAGATGTTCATTTATTTCAATAAACATTTCTATTCTATATTTGTCAAGCTTTTAAGTTCAATGTAGTCAAAAATAAAAGATCTGTTATCCAGTTTCAACTAGTTTTATAGTTTTACGGTTATTGTAATAAATATTTAAAATTCTTTAAGGAATACCGTTGTTTGGTGGTGACTTTATTAAGATGATTTTGATGTTGAATCAAAAGAAATGTCAATGTTTTTGCGATGACAGTTAAACTTGTGGATATTTTCTCAATTAATTCACAATAGCTCATTTAATAGCTTACCATCAGGTATTCCGTTAGCTCGTTTACCGACATATCACCAATTCTATACATATACATAATTCTATATATATGCCTAAAAAATCGAGATCGTCATTCACAATACTAACTGATTAGTTCAACTAAGTATATGACCTTTATATGAACCCTAATACTTTGAATGTACGTAGGTAAATAACAGAAAGAAATAACCAAAACTATGTTATATCTATATCAATCCTTTCATCAATTAGCATTTAAATGTGAAATAATAATAAAATCAAATGGAAGCAGGTTTCCTAAATACTGGGAATCGAACCTGTTGCGTCTTTATAGACATTGCCATTAAACGATATGCGTCAGCAAACAGAAGTCAAAAGGTGAGGACAGAAGACCCACTTTGATATGCCTTTTATTTTGCAAACATAATTGTAATCATGAACTTTATAGGTCAATAAATTAAGGTTTTTCGGTTCGTAAGACTGTGATATTCAATTGATAACATATACATGATTTATGACAAGAAATTCTGTATTGTAGTCCTCTGAATTAAGGTCTAGGTCCCGTAACCTTACGGTGCCAGGCAGGACGTGAGTCCTAAAACTGTCAGACAAGTATAGTGCGTTCCACATAAGGATTACTATAATAACAATTACAACGCGATCTATGGTATGAACTAAGTAACAGTTTCTTTTATAAAGTTCCTAAGGTGATCCTAAAGAGGAAAGTCTGTCCTGTCTCCTGTACCGTGGATGCGTTTATAAACATACACATTTACACACACACTACACCCAGACTTAAAAAACAATTTGTGGATCAAATAATGAGTTGTTCCATGTCAAAATCTCTCTCATCTATCAATCATGCAGTTGGTCGATTTTGGTATACATATATTTATTAGCTGTCCTGATCCTGTCCTAAACCTTTTTGATGAAGCTAAACGTTTAACAAAATATAGAAGTTTTGGTAAGTGGTAAGTAGGAATTAAAGCATAATATATAATTATCACAGAACGACCCCTGAAGATTGATATTATTGACACATTGCATAGCATTGCGAACTCTCAGGCATAAGCATTTTATTCTTCTAAATATTGTCTACGATGAACTGGACCTTCTGTTCTCCTATATGCCCATTGATTTATTTTATTACTTCCAAATCAATAATTTATTAGTGTAAAGCTATAAAAGTCTGCAAATACTTTGAATTTGTAATCTATCAGTAAACATATAAAGCCGAAGTTTATTTGAGTTATGCTAATTTTTGTCACAAGTTTTATTCTTTTTTATCTATGATGATTTTGACTAAAGCAACCGGTAATAATTTTATGAATATAAGCGAGTTACTTAACCAGATCATGTTGAGAAGCTAGTTCGGTTTGTCGAGGAATTTAGCGAATAATGGAATGGCGATTTGTTTATTTATTAAAACTGTTTAGGATGTTACTTAAAAGTGTTGCATTTTTTCCATAAAAGGTCTCAAAAACAACAACAACAGGAACCTTAAAAACTGCATCATTTCGTGTGACGTAACATTAACTTGAAACTAAAATCTAGTTAGCAATAAAATATGTTAATTTATCTTCTAAAACCATTAGATTTAACTGCTTCGGTTACGAAACTCGGCTCATAATTACAATCTACTGTTAATTGACTTTCATCACAAGTTAATGAAGAATATTGACTTTATGGAATGTTGGCTCCCAAGGAAGTGTTTAAGGTAATTAGAAGAAACAATTATAGCTCAAAATTGTGATAAAATAGTTCTCATATCAGACCACACATTCACAGCTTGACTGTCTTTTCCTTTACAGAAGAACCTCTCTTACTGATAATGTTATGATCTAAATCGTCTAGTGGTTGTGTTGGACATATTCTTGTAAGTATACTTTTTACAGGATATGTCGGCAACCGAGCAGACGGATGACCAATAAGCCTAGGAGAAAGAGGGATGAAGCTATACACCTTTTATAGCTCCATCCCTCTTTCTCGCCCAGAAGATTGACGCTTTAACACGTCATGGTAGGCCCT